AAAAAATTACAAATTAAAAAATACAAGGCCCAACCGTATTCTGCCTACAAGAAAATCACTTCAGTTTTGAGGATATAAATATAGGCTGAATGTGAAGGGATGGAAAAAGGTATTCCATGCACATGGGAACCAAAAAAAAAAGCAGGGTAGCTACACTTATACCAGACAAAATAGACTACTAGCAAAAACTGTAATAGGAAACAGAGAAGGTCATCATAAATGAGAAGGGGTCAATTCATCAAGAGGCAATAACAATTAGAAATATATATGTGCCCAACATCAGAACACCTAAATATTTAAGCACATACAGATCTAAAGGGACAACAATACAATCATAGTAGGGATTCGAACAATGGATAAATTACCCAGACAAAAAAAGTCAATAAGGAAACAATGGATTTCAACTGTACTTTAGACAAAATGAGCCTAAAAATATACACAGAACATTCCATCCAATGGCAACATAGACACATTCTTCTCAGTAGTACATGAGACACTTTTCAGAGTAGTTCACACATCACAAATAAGTGTTGGTAAATTTAAGATGATTGAAATCACACCAAATATCTTTCCCAGTAAAATTTTACAAAAGGAGAAGAGTTCCCAGCCAGTGAAAGACTTGTAAATTGATTCTATTGGCCTCCTCCCACTGAATGAGGGTTCTAAACAACTTTGGTTTGTGCAGACACTGTGTCTGCTCTAACAGGAACTTTCCCTGCTGCCATGCATGCCAAGATGTCATCGTCAGGGGGCTAGAAAAACTGGGTACCATGCATGGATACCCTCATGGAAGAGATAGAGATTGGGGGTCACATTTCAACAGTTAGGTATTGAATGGAGGTTTCGTATTCCCTATAACTCAACAAGCAGCAGAGATGCTACAAAGGAAAAGGGCATATTAAGGCACCAAATTGTTAACAGGTGAAACCACATTGGCTGGGTGGACTAAAGTACTGTCCCAGTCTTTAGTACATTTAAATGACCAACCTGTAGGGCTTCTTGTCCCATATACCAGACTAGGGACCCAGGCTGGGGCACTTAAATATTGTGAAGGTATGGAATTCACTAGAGACAGCAGCAGCTCTGCCTCACTGAGGATCGATGTGCTATGCTGCTGGGAACACCATACTCCAAGACACCTGGAAAAGGACTTATCTACTGGAATTTGCACTTGGGATGTCCCACCAGGGTGGGTGAGTTATTTTGTATCCCTAGGTGAAGGGGAACTACTCAGTCTGCTGGGATCCCATTATCCTGCTGCAAGGGGGATGTGTTAAAATGCATTATACCTGGGGATGCCTGGGAGGCTCAGTCAGTTAAGCCGCTGCCTTAGGCTTGGGTCATGATCCCAGGGTTCTGGGATCTAGCCCCACATCAGGCTGCTTGCTCAGCAGGGAGCCTGCTTCTCTCTCTGTCTCTGCCTGTCACTCTGCCTGCTTGTGCTCTCCCTCTCTCTCTGACAAATAAATAAACAAATGAAATCTTTAAAAGAAAATGTGTATCTTCTGCCCATTTTTTGATATGATTGTCTGTTTTGTGTGTGTTGAGTTTGAGGAGTTCTTTATAGATCCTGGATATCAACATTTTTTCTGTACTGTCATTTGCAAATATCTTCTCCCATTCCGGGTTGCCTCTTTGTTTTTTTGACTGTTTCCTTTGCTGTGCAGAAGCTTTTGATTTTGATGAAGTCCCAAAAGTTCATTTTCGCTTTAGTTTCCTTTGCCTTTGGAGACATATCTTGAAAGAAGTTGCTGTGGCTGATATCGAAGAGGTTACTGCCTATATTCTCCTCTAGGATTCTGATTGATTCCTGTCTCACGTTGAGGTCTTTTATCCATTTTGAGTTTATTTTTGTGTACGGTGTAAGACAGTGGTCGAGTTTCATTCTTCTACATATAGCTGTCCAGTTTTCCCAGCACCATTTATTGAAGAGACTGTCTTTTTTCCACTGTATATTTTTTCCTGTTTTGTCGAAGATTATTTGACCATAGAGTGGAGGGTCCATATCTGGGCTCTCTACTCTGTTCCACTGGTCTATGTGTCTCTTTTTATGCCAGTACCATGCTGTCTTGGTGATCACAGCTTTGTAGTAAAGCTTGAAATCAGGTAACGTGATGCCCCAGGTTGTATTTTTGTTTTTCAACATTTCCTTAGCAATTCGGGGTCTCTTCTGATTCCATACACATTTTTGGATTATTTGCTCCAGCTCTTTGAAAAATACCAGTGGAATTTTGATCAGAATGGCATTAAAAGTATAGATTGCCCTAGGCAGTATTGACATATGAACAGACACTTCCCCAATGAAGACATACAAATGGCTATCAGACACATGAAAAAATGTTCATCATCACTAGCCATCACGGAGATTCAAATTAAAACCACATTGAGATACCACCTTACACCACTTAGAATGGCCAAAATTAGCAAGACAGGAAACAACATGTGTTGGAGGGGATGTGGAGAAAGGGGAACCCTCTTACACTGTTGGTGGGAATGCAAGTTGGTGCAGCCTCTTTGGAGAACAGTGTGGAGATTCCTCAAGAAATTAAAAATAGAGCTTCCCTAGGACCCTGCCATTGCACTACTGGGTATTTACCCCAAAGATACAGATGTAGTGAAAAGAAGGGCCATCTATACCCCAATGTTTAGAGCAGCAATGGCCACGGTTGCCAAACTGTGGAAAGAACCAAGATGCCCTTCAACAGACGAATGGATAAGGAAGATGTGGTCCATATACACTATGGAGTATTATGCCTCCATCAGAAAGGATGAATACCCAACTTTTGTAGCAACATGGACGGGACTGGAAGAGATTATGCTGAGTGAAATAAGTCAAGCAGGGAGAGTCAATTATCATATGGTTTCACTTATTTGTGGAGCGTAACAAATAGCATGGAGGACAAGGGGAGATGGAGAGGAGAAGGGAGTTGAGGGAAATTGGAAGGGAAGGTGAACCATGAGAGACTATGGACTCTGAAAAACAATCTGAGGGTTTTGAAGGAGCAGGGGATGGGAGGTTGGGAGAACCAGGTGGTGGGTATTGGAGAGGGCACAGATTGCATGGAGCACTGGGTGTGGTGCAAAAACAATGAATACTGTTATGCTGAAAATAAATTAAAAAAATTAAAAAAAAAAGAAAATGCACTATACTTGGAATGGAATGAACACCACTGAAAGAGGGGAGTAGGTGGGGTCCTGGTCTGGCCTATCCCACCCCAGTTCAACCCCTCATACCTGGCAGTGCTATCTACTCCAGCCAACATGAATGGTTTGTACAACCAAGTCATGTTTCTCTTTTTTTTTTTTTTTAAGATTTTTATTTATTTATTTGACAGAGATCACAAGTAGGCCGAGAGGCAGGCAGAGAGAGGAGGAAGCAGGCTCCCTGCAGAGCAGAGAGCCCGATGCGGGGCTCGATCCCAGGACCCTGAGATCATGAAGGCAGAGGCTTTAACCCACTGAGCCACCCAGGTGCCCCCCCAAGTCATGTTTCTAAAGCTGCTAACCTCCCTCTTCTCAGGGCAAGGGGGGAACATTTTGTTATCCCACTGGTGTGATCATTTCGCTGTGTCTTTGTTCCTTCCATTGGCCTATAGAATGTTATAATGCACATAGAAGCCCTTATTAAATTCACCTAGCCCCTTGAATGAGAACCAACAAAGCCTGTCCTTACTGAACACTGAAATGTCTCTGATGAGAAAAGCTATCCAAAGGCTCATGAGGCTTTCTGTGTGAGAGCATCAACACAAAAAAAAAACATAATCATGTAGATATTAGTGTGGTTAACAGTAAAATGGGATCAAAGCTGTTTTTGATTTCCGTTTCTAGACATTCATTTTTACCCTGATAAGTTCTAATAAAGCTTGGGTTAAAGGATTTTAGTTTCTGAGACCCAACCAGAAACAAAGCCAATAAAGACCCACAGGTATTTTTCATTCCCTGTTGATGTTCCATGAAACCAGGAAGTCATTTTGACTCTCAGGAGATCATCTCCTGTTAGTTCCATTTGTTTAATAGATATTTTTTCTTCTCTCATGTGCTATAAAGAATGCCCCAATTTCCCCAGCCCCTAATGACACTTGCCTTTTTGGCCTGAGGTTTTATTTCCTCAGCTGGGTGAGAAGCCCCCTAGAGGGCAGTATTAAGGCCTTGTATTCCTTGTCCAAGCCAGCACTGGCCACTGTTTCTGTTCTTAGGCAATGTCATTGTGTCAATAACTTCTCTTTGTTGTTCTGGGTGAGCAAGAGGGAGTTTGTGGACCTTAAGAGGAAGTACATACAGATGGCAGGTAGAGATTAGGCATGAAGGCTCCTGGAGATGGTCCAGAACAGGTCTGGAGACACACCAGCATCTCGTGACTGGGTGTGCACTGGTCACATTAGAGATAGAGAAGGGAAGTTCAGACAAGGATCTGAGATCCTTGTGTTCAGGGGGAGTTGTGCAGGGATGGGGTGTTGCCTGGGCAGGGGGCTGGGAATCTTTGGAGAGAGTGGCTTGAAGCATGAGACAACTTCTGCTTTTATGTGCTCTTTTGAATGGGGGAGAATTGATTGATCTAATTTCTTTGAAGCATGTTTGATGGGTTTATGTAGTAGCTTAGGAATTAGCAGATATTTAAAGGACAGTGATAATCAGAGAAACCCTGCTGACTGATATTCTGTTTAATTTAGAAGAACATAACCCCCGTCTTAGAAGATAAACTCTTCCCTCCCCGTTGACACAACTGGAGAGAGGTTTCCATGATCCGTGTGACACACAATCCTGTCATGATGAGCACACAAAGACAGGGATTTCAGAGCTTCTAGGGAAGGATCTGAAATATCTCCTTAGGAAAATGTGGTCTTTTGACTGGACATCATTTTTCTGACAAAGACTAACTCTAGGGATATGAAGTCTAGGGAAGCAGTTCCTTCACTTTGTGGATGGATGTGGTTCCCATGTGGCAAACCACACATTCTGAGTAACTGTGTAGTAATCTACCTTCCTATTGGTCTGGCTGGGTAGTCTAGTAGTTTTGGTTCAACAGAGCTGCAGTAGAAGTGAAACTCCCCGAGAGTCCTTGTTTCTATACAGTATGTATAGAATGAGGCTTGGCCAATCCCCATCCAGATCCTCAACCCTCCTATTGTTCCCTAAGCTGTGACTTCATCACCCTGATCACCTGGGAGGTGAGAGAGCTGGGGCAGGGAATTCTGTGTACACTCTCAGATCTCAAATGGCGGAGGTTGAACCAGGGGCCAGTTTATTCCCAAATGGTGTTCCTTGGCTCTATGCCCTGTTTGCTATGCTTTTTGTATTTTTTCTCTTTGTCATGTTCTCTCCCTTTTTACTTGAGATAGACCAACATATAAAGAAATGTAAGTACCATGGAGGGCCTTGGTGCACAGGGGAATGAGAAGTATGAGTGTGTATGGCGGGAGGAGAAGTTATACATTATAAAGCGGGGAACAAGGAAACAATGTCTGCTCTTCTCTGATCTTCAAGGTCTTAATGAACCAGGGCTAGAGGATTTAGAAATAATAATCTTGGGGCACCTGGGTGGCTTGGTGCGTTGAGTCTCTGCCTTCAGCTCAGGTCATGATCTCAGGGTCCTAGGATCGAGCCCCGGGTCGGGCGCTCTCCTCAGCAGGGAGCCTGCTTCCCCCTCTCTCTACCTGCCTCTCTGCCTACCTGTGATCTCTATCTTTCTGTCAAATAAATAAAATCTTAAAAAAAAAAGAAATAATAATCTTATATATGATGGAAGTATCCAAGGGACATAGGTCAGGACTGGACTGGACAGCCTGTTTGTGATACATCTGTGGAGTGTGGGGAGGTATCTAGGGCCCTGCCTGAGTTGAAGTAAGGCCCAGGCACAAGGATATAGAAAAGCCTGGGGGAATCTGGGGATATGTGAGGAATTTCCAGATGAAGCGCTCTGACTCACCGTGCTTCATCTTAGTCTTGCTCAGATGCAGGTATTCTCTGCATAATGCTCTACATAAGAATAAAGAAAATGAGATAAAGATGGACCATCTGGGAAGGCCAGGTGAGTATTGTTTGCCTTTCACCTCTGGGCTTATTATGTCCATAAACTGGGCGGTTCTAGTTACTTCAATGTCCACATGTTAGATGGCTGGGAACTCTCCAACCTAGTCTCCATGAGGCAGCCCCCCTCACATTCTGTTTAGCTCAAGAATTCTGTCTTCTCTCTAGGGAGAATATTTTTCAAGCGGCAGTTTCGTTTTGAGCCCTCATTAACGTCGTAATCTAAGGTCTCCTTAGATTGAAAAGGAGGTAGAAAATTCCTCCTTAGGTGGAAAAGTTTCTCTTTTCTCATCTATACTTAATGATGTTTCTCCTCTTCTCAGGGTTCTCTCTCAAATGATTCAGGGACAAAGCTACAATTTTCTCATGCCCATGAAAAAAATTAGGTGACTCTTCTCCAGGAACTTGTTATAAAGCTGTTTTTGTGATAGGGATAAGTGCAGAAGGACTTTGTAGGGATAGAATCTTACCAACAGTCTGAGGAGACTGAAAGTCCATTGTTCTGGGGAACATTCTGACCACCAGGTGACCATAATCCCTGCAAATTGTGTACTTGCTTCTCCAGGCAAGGTTAGTTCTTTCCTCCTTTGTGCTGTTCTATGACTCCTTTGTGAAATTACAGAGAGATAACGCACCAGATTCTTGGTTTTTTAGTCCTTCAACTTAGACATCATTGAGTTCTTTGTGTCCACCATATCACTCCCTCAATATGAATGTTTCATGTTAAACTTTTGTTTTCTTTCTGCTATGTAAGGTGAAAGTTGTGGGCTATTTGATGAGGATTGACTTTTATAGCTCATGTAACATATCCCATTATATAGTTATTATAACAATTATTACATAATAATACAACTATTATATAATATTATATTACATATGTTATATAATATTATATACTACATATATAATATATATTATATGATTATATTATATAGCTTTCTGCACAAATTTTTTGAGAATCAGGCCAAAGCACAAGAAAAGGTTGGTCACTGAGGAACAAATCTTTTGAGCTTAAAACATTTCTTATATACTTAAGAAACGGTAATCTCTTGTGACAAGTATTTCCCGGACAATAAGTCAAGAATCATATATATAGTCCTGTCCTGCCAGGATTTTTCTGAGTGTTTAATGATGTACAGAAAATTTTATAATCTGCATCTCTTTCATTGTTCTGCTGTCCAAAATGGCAGTTACAATCTGCTGGGTCACAGGTATAATCAAATAATTTTCCTCTTGTTCCAGGCTGTCCTCTGGAGTCACCAAGGAGAGAAGTTCTGGGAAGGAAGGAAGATGGGATGGGAAAAGATCCCTCGCTACTTGTGAGGGTAGCAAGAGAGCCCAGGTGTTCTGAGGTTGAGATCTGTACCCCTGGACCGTCCGTTTGAGAGTGGCTGAGGCTCTAAGGAATCACCTGTGACATCATATCCCAGACATGAGAGGGCTTCTTAGACCCTCATTATGTATGTTTATATGAAAAAAAAGATAATAAATATTTTGAGACTCTCAGAAAAATCCTACATTACCAGGAATTTTTTTTTGTTGAATTTACAGCTTCATTCAGTTGCTTAAAGTCAGTCCAAATCCCAAACAAATTTCCCACTTCCAGGTGAAATGCTAGGTGAATGACTTATGCTATCTTATTCTTCTAAAGCAACAGGTAGCATCATTCTTTCAGGGGAAGAAAAGCTCATAGTGCCTATTAGACTAAGAAACATTTAATCCAGGAGCATGGCTGAATCCTTCCTCTCAATTCATCTGAATACTGTCAACATGTTCTGTCCAGATTGTTTTCTTATATAAATGCCATGCTCCTTTCATATCTTATCGTACAATATAGATGCATAGGAAGGGATTGGTGTAGATTTTCTCTTTCTACCTAAAGCATCATGGCTGCCCCAAATTGCTTTATTATCAAATGAAACTATTTTTGTCTAAGTTCCTCCACATAATTTTCTCATTCTTACCTACTTATCTGCTCTTCCTCTCTGTTCTCTCTCTTTTTTTAAAGATTATATTTATTTATTTGACAGACAGAGATCACAAGTAGTCAGAGAGGCAGGCAGAGAAAGGAAGCAGGCTCCCTGCTGAACAGAGAGCCCGATGTGGGGCTCAATCCCAGGACTCTGGGATCATGACCTGAATCGAAGGCAGAGGCCTTAACCCACTAAGCCACCCAGGCGCCCCAGTCTCCTCTTTTAATAATGTTGGTCATAATGGGTCATTAAAGCATCTATGTGGAACCCTCTAGTTAGAGAGGTGTATTAGGGACTGTGGAGAGAGAGAGAGAAGGAGAAGGAGGAGGGAGGAGGAGGAGGTGGAGGAAGGAGAGAGGGAGGGAGGAGTAGGGAGAAGGGAGGGAGAAGAGAGGGGAGGCAAAAGGAGGGGAGTGATATCCAAGTAGGAGACACTGGATAGGTTGTTTTGAGTTGAAAGGAATTACTGTCTTGGAAATGCGAAAGAACAGTCTGGCAGTGTCAGAACAGTTATGTGAGGGATTTCTGCACTGGATAGGAAGTTAAAACTGTCTGGAAAAGTCCCTTCATTGTCTAATACTTATGATAACTTTTGATATAGAACTGTTAAATACCAATTCACTTTGATGTCTATAAAACCATATGGGTATCTATTAAGCAGCAATTCAGTTTGGTTTTTGGGTCTGCATCTGTTTCTTTGGAGGGGGAGTCTCTTGGTACGTTCTTTTTTTCTTCACAAATGCTCCTGTGGTTTCTAGGGGCACATTCTTTTTTCCCATTTTCCATCTTATTCTCTTTTTATATATTATTTATTAACATATTGATTCTTTTTTTTAATATCCTGATTATTTAAAAAAGTTTTAAATCATTTTTCTTGCCTTCATTTCTGGGCTTATGCATGTCTTTCCTATTTCTGATTATCTCCTATTGAGTGTAATTTCTTTCACTTTCTCTTTTTTTCTATCTGCCCAACAAATTTCTTGCAGATGTTTCCTCCTTCATGTTTCACTACCTTAGAGTAAGGGAATAAAACTCCAAGGCCCTATCGCTCTGCTCCCCCAAATGTAATCCTTCCCAGAGTTAAATGAGTTTAAGGAGACCCAGGGCTCTAAAATTAAACATCAAACAGAAAACCCTCTAGGTATTCAAAGCAGGAAGTGGTTTACTACAGGAAATTGTGTGCTTATAAAATCTTCAACATGAAGTTTCAAAAACCCCAGGAAACCACTGCTAAAGGTCACCCTGCTGCAAAAACCAAGACTAGCAACTTTCAGGGCAAGTGGAAAGGCCCCTACAAAACGAAATCTCCCATACATGGGAGAACCTAGCCTGGTGGAACCTAGCCCAGATTCCACCTGTCCATTCTTGTGGGAAATGTAGAACTCAGTCTTCCAGCTCCTGCTGTTCAGAGAGAGTATAACCAGAGGGCAGGAATGGCGAGGAATTGGTAGGAGGTCATGCAGCTGGGTTGCCTATCAGGGCAAAAGAAGCTCTCTGTTTTATCTTCAGCAGAAAACGTAGTGCTTACATGACAATGCTCTTTCTGATCTTTTTCTGTTCTCCACATGGATTCTTCAGGCTGCTGGGTCAGGAGGGCTTAACAATTGCCCAAGATGACATCCCACCCTTTTGATATTAGTCTCAAGGAGCAAAACCGTTGTTTTTCTCACCTTTCTAGAAGCACACCACAATTACAATGGCTTTCCATTTATTTTCCCCAAATCTTGGTTATTTAAACCTATATATCTTCATGTGCACTGCACCAAGTTCTAGTCTTAATATCCTTCCCAGGAAACTATTGCTCTTCCAAAATGTTCCCTATGTGGTGATAGGCCTGAAGTATTTATTAACAGATATCCATTATCACTCAACCTCTGGGACTTAAATTGAAATTTAAGCTAGCCCAAGAGTTTTCTTCCTAAACAAAGGTTTTTACTTGCCTTGTATTTGTATAAACAAAGAGTTTATCATGGTTCATTTCCAAAGCCATAAGGAGTAATCTCTTCTGCTAAAGATACACTGGAATGATGCTTCCAGAATGTTGTTCACTCCTCAATTACCACTCCATTAGTGAAATAAGTCAATCGGAGAAAGACAACTATCATATGATCTCCCTGATATGAGGGAGGGGAGATGCAACACAGGGGGTTAAGGGGGTAGGAGAAGAGTAAATGAAACAAGATGGGATTGGGAGGGAGACAAACCATAAGTGACTCTTAATCTCACAAAACAAACTGAGGGTTGATGGGGGGAGGGGCTTGGGAGGGGGAGTGGGGTTATGGACATTGGGGAGGGTATGTGCTATGGTGAGTGCTGTGACGTGTGTAAACCTGGTGATTCACAGACCTGTACCCCTGGGGATAAAAATATATGTTTATAAAAAATAAAAAAAATAATAATCCTAAATATCAAATTAAAAAGAGGTTCCATTGAACTATTATTACTATCTTTCTACATAATCTTTATATACATTTAAATGTCAACAACCCCACATTTTTCTCCTTTAGTATCTTAGATCATTATGCAACATTATATTTATTTATTTTTAGAGAAGGAGAGAGATGGGGAGGGGCAGACGGAAAGGGAGAGAGAGAATCTTAAGCCGGCTCCCCGCCAGGCTCAATCTCACAACCCTGAGATCACGACCTGAGCCAAAATCAAGAGTCGGACACCCAACCGACAGAGCCTCCCAGGCTCCCCTCAAACATTGTTTTTAAATAGAAAGGCAAATATTTGTTTTTTAAATATCTAACTCATGATTATAAATGGTGATTTCCCCCCAAAATTTGTCTATAGGAGGGAACACAGACTTTATATGAAAAAGAATAAAAATATTGAAGAATTCTGCATCAGGATAAAAGGCCTTTTTGGAGGAGAAAGGGGTGCTGGAGTCACTGACTATCTTTAGGCCCAAGACACTTCTCCACCAACAGTGGTGGCCTTTTTGTTGAAAGCATTTAAAACAAAACAAAACAAAACACAGTAGATAACAATTTTTCTACTGGTTATTAGTTATAATAAGTAAAGTACAATCACTAATAGGTTGTTTTATTTCAGTTTCTAAACATGTATTTTTATGTCAATATATCTTTTAAAAATCTAGGTGAAGAAATCTTCAGTTTCTGAGAGTATTCTCAAAATAAAGTCAATGAAGCACACAGGCATCTTATTTCTGTTTCCATCCCCTGTAATCAGGGAGCCACTCCGGCTCTCAGGAGAGCATCTCCTGTTAGTTCCATTTGTTTAATAGCTATTTTTCTTCTCTAATGTTCTATGAAGAATTCCCCAATTTTCTCAACCCATAATGATCCTTGCCTTCTCAGCCTGGGGTTTTAGTTCCTCATCAGGGTGAGAAGCCCCCAGAGGGCAGTAATTAAGGCTCCATATTTCTTGTCCAAGCCAGCACTGGACACTGTTTCTGTGTAATAAGTTAAAACTTAGAGGACGTAGTGCTTCAGAGAAATTCCATCTGTGAGCAAGGCCATGTTCATGAAGCAGGTCCCTTGGTGCAATCCCTTGACTCTCTCCCCAGCGTTTCCAGAGCTGCTACCAGTATGAGCTGGTACATATCTATTGGAACCTATAGGTACCAATAGGTATGTACCAGAGAACATACCAATATGTTCTTTCCAAAGCAGCAAGAGAGCATATTCTGGTGATATTCAGAGCAATGCCTCTGCCTAATATTCTGTTCAGTTCAGAAGAAAACATTATAACTATCTCAGAAAATAAACAGTTCCCTCCCCTGATGTTTGTGACTGGGGAGATAACCTACAGTTGATGGGACACCCAGTCCTGACGGGAGTAAGTACACTGAGACAGGGAATTCTGGAGCTTCTAGGTAAAGATATGGATTTTCTGTTCAGGAACAGTTGATCTTTCTTCCCCCTCCAACTTAGATATCTTATTCTCTAGATAGAGCTGGTCCTAAAGCTGAAGTGTCTGAGGCCACTCCCTTAATCTACAGACATGATTCCAGTGCAGGAGCACATCCATTCTGAGTTTGTGTATGAGTCCCCTCTTCTCCTCGCTGTGTTTAAAGAGACGAGTCTTAGAGGGACCACTGAGGCTTTGGCAGAGTGAAGCTATCTGATTTTCCTCAGTGTTTGGTTTTTGGAAGGCTTGGCCAATCCCCACTGAGACATTCATGACTCCCATTGTTTCTGAAATTGTGACTTCATCACCCTGTCACTTAGGAGGTGACAGGGCTGGGACAGAGAATCCTATATCCTTATATGCATCTTCATGGGTGGGTTTGAATCAGGCAGCAGCTTACACGTCAACGTGGCCTTCTGGCTATACATCCTCTTTACCATGACCATTCTTTCTATCATCTTTTTCTCATTTTTCCCCTTCTTCAGCGAGGTTGATGAACCCATAAGGAAATGTAAGTCTTACATGGGGCCTAGAAGAGGAGGGGGGATCCATTAAAATGTGAGGTGTTTGAAAATATGTTCCTTACTACTTGTTCTAGGAAAACACTTCCTCATCTCTAAGCTTTAAAGTCTTTCCATGACCCTGGGCTAA